GATTCCTTTATGTAAACAAAATGCAGACAACTTAAGAGATTCTGCATTAATCTTTATGGATAGAATAAACTAGAACAAAAATGAAAATACAAAAATATAATTGAAAATTTAAAGTGCCTTTATGGTTACAAAAGGTGATCAACATTGACTGTTTGTTAGTCAATAATTTAAAAAAATCAAACTTTTTATGTGTATATGGGCAATTAACTCACTGAGAAACAATCCACATAGAAAGAATCTTGCGATACCAGTTTGTGTAATTACTTTTCAAGGTATAAAACACATACCTTGATTCAAGTCCCTATTCTGCCTCTTCATGGGTGATCTTGGGCAAGTCTCTTAGCCTCTCCATGTCTCAAGTTCTCCCTCTGTAAAATGGGGAAAATAGTATTTCCCTATTTCACAGGTATGTTAAAACATACATATTAGGGATGTGTGGCACTCTGATACGGTGCTACTGGAGACATTCAAATTATCAGATGAGACTTAATCAGAAACATAGCTAGTGCAGAACACTTATATTTGTACTTATAATCCAAACATTGTTTAGGATTTTTCAGGGTTTAAAAAAATGGAATTAGTGTGATAATAGTAAGGGTAACAAATTAATACTAATAAACAAACAGATCTTTTTTATTTGAGCTATCTACTAAACAAAAAGGGTCAATTCTCTTGATTTTTGGCTGCTATGGTGACTTTGAAAAGACTAAGGTGAATCCATATGTTTCATTTATGTTCTGATTTAGGTCTCATCTCATAACAGAAGAGTGACTTGGCTGAAAATACATTAGCCTTTCCAATAAACCTCATTGAATTTTATCTCCTTCAGTGTATATTTAAAAGGTACAGTGTCAACTAGAAAAATCACCTTTGTGTGAACATTTAGCAACTATTCTGGTGTGACTTCTAACATTGCTATAACTAGAGGAGTGTTGGCGAAAAAATGCCTCTTTTTTATAGTTTGTTCACTTTGTGCATATGACAGAACTTTGGATGTGATCCAACTCCCACTGAAGTCAGTGGAAGACTCTCCATTGACATCAATTAAAGTTAGATCAGGTTCTCCAAAATAGTCAGTTTTACTGTTTCCTCTATGTAATCAATTTCTCCAAAGCTAAAAAGACCCTTATTAAAATCAAAGATAGGACAAGAAAAGTCCCTTATTTAAAATCTTAAAAGGACCTTTTAAATAAAAATTTAGAAAACATAATTTAAAAACTCTTCTAAAAATTAGAGTTTTCAAAAATGTTTCTCCAAGAAGCTCAGACTGAGAGAGATAGAATGTAGAGATAATTAACCAAGGAAACCAGATGCCTCTTTAGATTACTTCTAACAAAAATGTGGCAGCATGTCAGAACCATTTAATAGAGGATTGCAAATATGATATATTAATGATCATTACATTCCCTGAGTGGTACAAGATTGTTTACCATACAACCCAATGCCTGTTAGGCAAATATCAAGAGACCATTTAGGTTTTCAAAACAGAAGAGCTAGAAAGACCAAATTCAGAGCCAGTGTCCTAGGTTCACACCTTTGCATATGTCAATAGATGCAAGCCCATAAGGTAAGCCTGCATGGAACTGAACCAATTTGATAGAATCTTTAATAGAACAACAAGTCTTGTGGATAAGGGAGAAGCAGTGGATGTGGTATACCTAGATTTTAGTAAGGCATTTGATACAATCTTGCATGATCTTCTTATCAATAAACTAGGCAAATACAAGTTAGATGGGGCTACTATAAGATGGTGCATAACTGGCTGGATAACTGTTACTTGACCAGTTTTTGTTTAAGTTTGTTCTCAGAGAGTAGTTATTAACGGTTCACAATTATGCTGAAAGGGCATAATAAGTGGAGTTCCACAGGGTTCTGTTTTGGGACCAGTTCTGTTTAATATCTTCATCAGTGATTTAGATATTGGCATAGAGAGTACACATAAGTTTGCAGATGATACCAAACTGGAAGGAGTCGGAGGATAGGGTCATAATTCAAAATGATCTGGGCAAACTGGAGAAATGGTCTCAGGTAAATAGGATGCAGTTTAATAAGGACAACTGTGAAGTACTCCATTTAAGAAGGAACAATCTGATTCACACATACAGAATGGGAAATGACTGTCTAGGAAGGAGTACTACAGAAAGGGATATAGGGGTCATACTGGACTACAAGCTAACTGAGTCAACAGTGTGACACTGTTGCAAAAAAAGCAAACATGATTCTGGGATGCATTAACAGGAGTGTTATGAGGGAGACATGAGAAGTCATTCTTCCACTCTACTTTGTACTGATTCGGCCTCCATTGGAATACTGTGTCCAGTTCTGGGCACCACATTTCAAGAAAGATGTGGGGAAATTGTAGAGGTCCAGAGAAGAGCAACAAGAATGATTAAAGGTCAGAGAACATGAGCTATGAGGGAAGACTGAAAGAATTGAGCTTCTTTAGTTTAGAAAAGAGAAGACAGAAGGGACACGACAGTGGTTTTCAAGTACATAAAAGAGTGTTACAAAGAGGAGGGAGAAAAATAGTTCTCCTTGGCCTCTGAGGATAGGACAAGAAGCAATGGGCTTAAACTACAGCAAGGGAGCTTTAGGTTGGACATTAGGAAAAACTTGCCAACTGTCAAGAGTGGTTAAACACTGGAATAAATTGCCTAGGGAAGTTGTGGAATCTCCATCTCTGGAAATATTTTAGAGCAGGTTGGATAGACATCTCTTGGTGCTTGGTCCTGGGTGCTTGGTCCTGCCATAAGGGCAGGTGACTAGAACTGACCTCTCAAGGTCCCTTACAGTTCTAGTGTTTATGATTCTATGATTTCCTCAGCATCTTCTGACAGACTTCTCTAGATCTCCACCAATATTTTCAAAATGTCCTCTCTCAATGGCACCTTTGGGGTTTAGTGACAACAGTATCACCATTAGCCTAACCAGAGACTGCTCTCTTTTCTAGACAATTACTCTGACATAGGTGTGTACAAAATGCATCTCTTCCTACATTCGCAACAGTGAATCTGGTTCCATATTTTCTTTATTTTATGAAAGGGAGCTTGTTTGAATTTCCTGGAGCTAGTATGCTTCTAAAGTCAGTTTAATGACATTGGTTCACAAAAGCAAGCACACATGCTTTGCTGAAAGTTCAATTTTTAAACTACTGCCCTTTGCAAAGAGGCTAGGTTTAACATATACCTTCAGGGTCTAAACTATTTAATTATATTGTCTAAATGTCAACTTTATTTAAAATCTCAGCACCACAGACCCTCTCTACGTCACAGTACTTATATAAAGGAGTAACAAGATTACCGTGAGTTCCGCACTGATGAATTTTCACCTTTTGAACATCTAACAATTACCCATAAACACAGTAAAAATTAATAGTGTATAGGCAGGGCTCGCCAAGCGGCAGCGAGCCCCACTCGCCAGCCGTGCGGTTCGGCATGCTGTGCATGCAAAGACTGCGCTGTGCGGCTGTGCCGGCTTGTAATCTACTCGCTACGGGCAAGTAGATTACACTAATTGTCAAGCTTTGTGTATAGGTATGTGCAACAAGCATCAACTACACATAGCTCAAATAATACTTTAAAACTATACAAAATAGAAGAGACAATGCTAGTAACAAAAGGAAGTCTACTATTTTGTTTGAGATGAAAGGCTTGATATTCTTGTGAAAGTCTAGTATTTTTTTAAAATTCTGAAACTGGTATTAGGCTAATAAATAATGCAGACTCACCTGCTCTGCTGCCTCTCTTTTGGCATTATAGGTATCTAGATGTTCTTGGAGCTCCAGAACACTGAACTTCAATATTTCTAGTAAGCCACAGGACATTAGCTAGAACATAAAAATATTTTTTCTAACAACAAATTAAAACACTCTTAAATTGTTAGACCACGTTTGAGAAAGCACATACAATTTACCCGTTGTGCACATCATATGTAACCCCCCTGTTTTTAAGTTTAAACAAACATTTGCAGCCATACCACTCCAACCTGTTAGATGCAATCAGATTTTGAAGACATGCAGGGTTGCACCTAATTAGAACTTGGATGAGAAACCTCAAAAACACTTAAGTGCTGTATGAAGTTGTGCTTCTGATTCAACCTGTGGTGTATTTCCCATCTAAAAGCTAAATCATCAGTTTGCAATCTCACCTTTAGGAAAAGACAATGTGTGGTGCTGTCCCAGAGCAGCTCAGGAGGGAGACTGCATGACACAAGGGGGCATGTCTACATTGCAGAGTTTTTCTGGAAAAATAGCCGTTTTTCTGGAAAAGCTGCATTTACGTCTGCACTGCAATTGTGTTCTTTCGATAGAAAGTCGAAAGAACGCAGGGGGTTCTTTTGACAGCGGTAAACCTTTTTCTATGAGGAAGAAGTCTTTTTCCGAAAGAGCTCTTTTGGAAAAAACACATGTGGCCCGGTGGCCACTCTGTCCATAGTAATCACAACTTAAATGCGAGATAGCGTCCAATTGTTGTGGACGCTATCTTGCGAAAAAGCAGATTGCTTTTTCGATGCACTTTTGCTATGTGGACACTCTCTTCCAGAAAAGTGTCTTCTGAAGCCTGCAGTCTAGACATAGCAAGGGAGTCTCAGTGTCCCTTCCGGTCTATTTAAGGAAGGGGGTAAATTGCACCAGGTCTACAGCTGTCACAGCATATGCTATCTAGAGCATAGATGTAACTATGTTGTCAGTCATGTTGGTGTGGGGAGATGAAATGATAGTCTTTCCCTTTCCTTTCCACCTGTGCAATGGGAAGTAATGGATTTGCTTCCATCCTGCATGCAGCATAACAGTGCAAGGGAGTAAGTAAGTAGATTCCTTATGCACTATGTACTTTCCTGTGCCAGTGTGTAGAACAGGTCAGAATTGGCCCTAATTCAATAAGGAACCAGAACCCACGATTCTGTCAGAATACTGTTCTACTGGAAAAAATACGATTTTGATTTCCCTGTGTAGAAAAACTCTATGGCACACTTCAAATCAACAAGGATGGCAGAATCTGCCATTTATAAATAAAAGGATATTCAACTCCCCACTCTACCTTTCGGATGCACCATTTAATTTGACAATAGGATGAAACCTTGAAATTTATGACAGGTAAAGAGAGCAGTGAATGAAATTATTGATATTTACTATCTAAATCAATCCATTGTTTGTCATTATTAGGAGAAATAATTAAATTTCACAATTATTCTATAGTTAGAAAGGACTATATTTTACAACTGAACTCACAGCTATAAACTACTGTTTTGATACTCCTCTTTTTCATTTGTACCAATGGTTCTCAAAGCATGGTCCATCGATCACTGCCTCACAGGTGGATCGTGGCTTGAGGCTCCCATAACCCTCCACTGCCCAGCAAGGTTGGAGCGCTAGCTTCCTGATGTGTGTGTGTTCGTGTGTAGCCCTGAGCCTCGAGGGCCAGATTCTATTTGTGGGGGGAACAAATGACTCCATGCACTGCTGTTCCCCCTCACCCCACTAGGGGAATGGCAGTGCAGGGAAGCACTACCCAGAGGCTTTTCCTGCTGCTTCCGTTGGCCAGAATCATAGCCAAAGGCAGCAGTGGGAGGCAGTACCTAGGAGGGCAGAGGGCGCAAAGCCTGGTAAGTGCCCCTCATGCCCTGACCCCCAGCCTTATCCTCCTCACTCATGTCCCTCCACCGAGACCCTGCCTCATACGCTTACTCCTGCACCCTTCCTCTGGCCAGGCCCCCCCTTCCCCCCACACCCAGTCTCCCCCAGCACCCTCCCTTGCTCCTGCACTCTCCTTCCTGGCCAGACACTCCACCCAGAGCCCACTCCTGCACCCTCTCCCCCACCCAGACACTCCACCCTGAGCCTGCTCCTGCATTCCATCTCCTACCCAGACCCCCCACTCCCACCCTCAGCACCCAATGGGACCAACAGCCACCATGAGCCCTGGGGCAAGGTGTGGAAAGGCCATATCTGCACCCCTGGGAAAGGTGGGGCTGAGGGCAGTCAGTCCTTAGCTATGGGCCCTCCCTAGATTTCAAAGCCATACAGAGTAGCACTCTGGCACTCCCACTGCAGTTCAAAACAACTCTGAGCCCCTTTGTCTGGGCCCCAGGGCAATTGTCCCCTTTGCCTCCCTGCCTGTACCCTACTTCCTGGACAGTCAAGCACCCTTCCCCCTCCTGCACCCATTTTGTCATCATAGGTTGCTGGCTGGTGGTCCGTGGAAAGGTTTGTATTGAGCAGGTTGGGCTATGTGCCAAAAAGTTTGAGAACCCTTGATTTATACAAATTAGTCTTTTTATTTTTAAATACAAGTACTATCCATGATACTATAATTAATGATAAGCTCTTTACCTGTACCCTTAGAAAAAATTCCCTCAACATTATATTCTGAAGGTTGAAGCATAAAATATTCTGTATCCATTCAGAAAGGCTATTAAATACAGGTATTTTAATCTAGTACTATATTGCTGACTGCACATAAGATTTTACCGTTTCAGCATCAATAAAGACTGTTGGGCATTCTGAACACATCATCATCACCTCCAACGAACTTTTAAATTTTGTTCCAATACGCTGTAGACCCTCACCAAGAAAACTGACTGCAGCATTTGTTATAGTTCCAAACTTTCTTTGAATGGTCTAGAATAAAAATAGAAAAAAATATTTAATTGCATTACTTTCTTTTTTTTTAGCACAAGATAAAGGAAATCTCTTTTTTTCTATTCTGACAAAGAATTTTTGTATAAACTATTGGTACTACACACATTTGTGTCATTACACTCTCTCTCTCTTTGCTGGATAAAAGTAGAAAAACATTACAAAGAAGATAAAAGAAGGAGAATAGTTCCTAAAACTATGGTACTGTATATTGCCTTGAGTCAGGGATGAAAGTATTATTTAGGAGTATTAAGACCACAACATAGACACTAAGCTCTTTTGGGGCAGTGCCACTGTCAGCAGCAGCACAGAAGTGAAGTTGGTTGGGAAAAGGGGGTGGGTTACTATGTGTCTGGTTTTCCCAGCAGTCTCTTCCATGAGAAGGAGGGGTATCAGGTGACAGCGGGAGCTGCAACCTCCCTTCATGGGCATTGGGGGAAGTGACAGCTAGAACTGCGGAGCTTCCTAGAGCTGGCTGAGATCTTGGAGATGGATATGACCCACCCTAGCACTCTACGAACGGTCCCTGCAAGAGAAGAACAAGTCTTGTTCTCCCCCACCTCCCAGTTCCTGGTATACTAGCAGCTGGTGCCATATTTCATGAGGGAAGATAAGATTTCACATTCCATTACATGTTTTTCAGGGCTGTGAATTTATTTTATGTATGCAATTCATCCTCAGCAAGTGCCAATTAAAAGGTTATGCCAGCACACATTACCATATATTTTGATACTTCACAGTTAAAAAATACTACTTTAGAAACCTTTTTGATTTTTAATTTTTTTAAACTAAGTAAGTTTATAAGACTATGGTTCTGACCCAGTATGTTCCTATAAATTATTTTTATAAAACCTGAAAAATCATATACAAATGACTACATTCAAATAATGTTAGTAAGGTTGCAAATCCAAGCACTGAGTAGCTAAGAAATGCCAGGATTTATGTTAAGCCTTTATTCTGCTGCTTGCACTGATACATTATAGTCATGGCCCCCTATAAGCCAAATCACAATAGAGCGATTACACAGCAGGTACTCTTCAGTTCAGCAGCAAGAAACTCTCAGTTCCACAGCAATGCTAATTAGCTCAATTTGTTGATTTTTCATAGTATATTGCTGAATTCTCTAAATTTTATGGAGCCTCTCAGTAATAGAGAACAGTTACTCCCAACGTGGTCAGATGGTCAGGGATACTGAAAACAGCAATCATTTTTTCCCTCTGTCATTCCTACTCCAAATGGGGGGGGAGGGGGGTTGAAGGTGTAGGGTCAATTGAGGCAGCCCATGGTATCTTGCTGAGAACTGTCAAACTCAAATCTGAAAGTATCAGACCAAGCCTGAGAAGCACACAGTACAGCAGTTACTGTGACCCTGGTTCCCCTGGCAACCACATTCCAAAAGGGCCTCACTTTGATAAGGCCGGTACCAAACAACCGTGCGGGATTGTTTTTCATTGTCTGCTTTATTCCTAGAAAAAGCTTGGATCCCAAAGATCGCACGCAGGCAATACCACCCCTACAGGAGACGCATTATATTTCCGGTCGACAAAATAACCATCAACATGCCTTTGTTTATGTTGGCTTATTTAGCTTGTTAGGAATAGCTATTTGTATTAGTGATACCTTGTTAAATTGGTAATGGGAGGAGATGCTGTGTAACTGTTGTAGACCATTGGCTTATGTGCATCTCTCACTTCCGCTGCTAGACCTATCAAATTACTTCTCCTCCATCCATCTGTACCTATATAATCTAATGTATGTTTTGGTTAAGTTAGTGCTCACCGGGTTAACCCTGAATGAGTACTCCACCAGCTATGTGAACCAATAAATCCTCTGCTTGTTTTCACCTGCACCCAGTGTGTCCAAGAAATTATTCCCCACAAAGGTATGGTGAAGGAGTGATGTATGGTCACAAGAAGCATCTTGTCTTCTTATGGCAATCTTATAGCCCCTACTTGCTTTAATCCAGCCCTAAACATATCAAAGCCTGGGAGAGATGAAAATCTGCCCATTGCCTACAGCCCTCTGACCTAGTCCTTGTCTGCTACATTCCTTTTGGACACATACTTGATTAGCTGTGAATGTAAGTCCTCATAAGCCAGGAAAGCTGTTGCTGTGCTTTCTGGCTCCTCTTCTTATGTAATGTACTCCCCCTTGAAGTGAAAGTAGCAGAAAGGGAAAACTGAGGCCAGGCCATGGTAGGGAAGGCAGGAGTAAAATGACTGATTCTGCAGCTATAGCATGAAATTCCATAACATATGACAAAATGACTAATTCAGTAGAGTATCAGACTGTATGAGGGTACTGATTATGATATAGCCTTTAACTACAAAATCCAATAGCTTCCTGCCTCTTTCAGTGCATAGGATGGATGGTGATCAGGGAATGAATGTAGGTTATATAGTGAATGAGACTGTTGTCTGAGCCATCCCTTCTTCCTTTATTGCAAAATTTGGAAGGTATATACTGAATGAGGCAGGGGACTGCAGCAAGAGATGGTTTTCTGGTAAATGCACTTGAATGGCACCCACTAGGACTGTGTTGCATCATTACCTCAGAGACTTCCTGTATGATGCTGAACAAATAATCTAAGATAGCATTTTCACAGAGGGCTACTAATTATTTGCTTCTAGGAGCCCAACTTCAGACAGCTGTGGTCTGATTTTCAGAGAAGCTGAGCACTTGTAATTACAACTGCATTAAGTGGGAGATGAAGTTGTCTAAACCTCTGCAGTTAAGGCAGTATAGTTGGGTTCAGGAGCTCTTGATTTCTAATATTGATTTGGCCACTCACTAATGGTACAGCCTTGATCAAGTCACTTTGCCTTTCTGAGTCAGTTTCACTAGGGTAAACAATACTGATCCACCTTCTCACAGGACACTGGGAGGATTGAGCCATTAATGTCTAATTTACAATACTTACAACATATCAAGTGCTAAAAAAAAATTTAAGTGCTCTGAAAAAAAAATCACTCCCTAGCTAGGTTCTTAATAATTGAGGCAAACTAAATTAACAGACATTTTTGAAAATTTTAGTCTTAAACTGCTAGTGTATCTTTTCCCTTTCTGGGAAAAACCTTCTTATTTTATGGGATATTATGAAGATAAATTCAGTAATATTTGTTAGGCTGGCATACTATGGTGATGAGTGCTACAAAGCTCATAAAAAAATCAATAATTCTGCAATCGGGAAAGGGTTTGGATAAGGTTCAGTGTTCAGTTAAAAAACAAGGTGTGTGTGGGGTGGATAGCAAAAATGATTAGTCTAAAAAGAAATACTGAACAGATGCCTCATTTCCTGCACAATATTCATCCTCGGAATTGAATGAGGCAGGGTCCTGTGGAAAAAATATTTCATTATAATATATTAAAGTAATGTTTTTATATTTGTTCTGTATGTAATTATTTATAGTAGTGACAGGCCTTAGAAAACTAATTAGAAAAAGAAGCTGTTTGGAAAAAAAAATCAGAAACAAATTAGTAATGAGTCACTGACCTGAAATAATCTAGAGAACACATGAAAAGTATAGACTGCACAAGATCCATCAGTGTCTGACAGCATTTGATTGACATGGCAGCGCCAGGCCTCCTCTTCATCATCATATGTCACTGGCTGAAAAGCTGCCAATATGGCAGAAAGAAATGGTGAAGGTGGTGGTGAAGTCTGTACTTCTGGAAAACCATCCTGTTCTTCCTCATCTTGGCTGTAAATAAAGTAAGTTATACAAATTTGTCAGTAAATACTATGGGAAAAAGAAAAGACCATGCAGTATAATTGAGTTGCCAAATCTAAAAATCTAGAGAAAATTCTGTTTTGTTTTAAACAAAATGAAATCTGTAGTGAAAATGAAGCAGGAAAAGTTTAAAAAAACAAGGCTTTTGCTGCTACAGTATAAATGTTGGTACTACACCCTCAAGGTATGTCTATACTACAGGGTTATTTCAAAATAGTTAATTTGAAATAGCTTATTTTGAAATAACACATCTACACACAAAATGCATTTCGAAATAGCGTTTTGCTATTTCAAAATAGCGCATCCACACTGAGTGGACACTGAATTGCATTGAAGGCCGGCCAGAACCAGGTCCAGCAGGGCATCAGGTCAGGTGTTTATTTGTGTGGCTGCTGCCTGGGGCTATCTGAGGCTTGTGCTTAAAAGGACCTCCAACCCCGGGCAGCCAGTTCTCAGGTTTCCCTGCTTGCTTGCCTACTTCGATGAGGGACAGCAGAGCATTTTGTCTCTGCGTACTCTGGTTGCCCTCACTCAGGACACCACAGCACTCTGCAACATGAAGCCAGAGCTGCCCCTGGGCACTCTGGTGCTTCTCGTAATCATGTTGATGTGAGCCTGGCTGCACTTTCTGCATGCTGCCATCCAGGAGGCCTTGCGGGAGAGCTTCCACCCTGAGGAGCACTAGAGTCTCCCTGGTCTGCCCCACTGGAGGCTTGTGCTTCATTCCTTCCCGACATCGTTCCACTTACCCTCCCAGCCCCACTTTCTGATGTCAAATAAAATACACGTATTTTCATGAACAGAAACTCTCTTTATTTAACAAAACTGGGGGGGGGGCAGGGGAGAGAAGGGGAATAAAACTGGTGAGACTCGAGAAAAGAGGTGGGAGAGGGGAGGGGGAAACCTGGGAGGAGGGAGGTGGAAGGGGGAAGCAAGGGGAAAAAGGGGGAAGGGAAGCTCAGGGCTTAGGGTTGGGGGTCTTGCCGGACCAACTTGATTTACATGCGAACCTGCTCCTGGGTTCGCATGTGGCCTTTGGTGGCCAGGCTGGCAGCTATCCTGCCATAGATGGCTGCGTTCCTCCGTTTAGTGCGGAGATCATGGACGTTGGGGGCATCCCCCCAAACCTAAGTAAGGTCCCCCTGATCTCTGCCCTGGACCAGAAAGGCACCTACCTTCACCAGGCCCTGGCAGGCTCGTGGGAGCTAGCAGACTGCTCCTGGGGAGCAGTGGAGGGCTGGCTGCCCGTGGTTTGCTGGCTCATGTTTTGGGGCCACTGGGTCAAGGGCAGTGACTGCTGGCTCTGGGC